TCATCAAGGGAATGGTGAATAAGTTTAAAAAAGAAGGAACAATAGAAAGGAAAACTGGATCAGGAAGCCACAACAAGGAGAGAGATCATCATTTCAACTTAGAATTAAAGAGATCAATGACAAAAGATCCAACTCAATCCTTAAGACATTTGGCACATAAGAGAAGAGTTTCAGCTATGACAGTTTAAAGAGCAGTGAAAATAAGACTTGAAAATGAAATTGTATATGAAACGTGTGAAGCACCATTTTACACTACAACAGAAAGTTAGAAGGTTAGAGAGAGTGAAGATCATCTTGAATAAGTTGGAAATGATCCTGAAATAAAATAAATATATATATATATATATATATATATATATATATATATATATATATATATAAATGATATAAGAAGACTTCTTCTCCGGTCCCGACAACTCTCTTATATCCGGGTTACACTGTGTATATATATATATATATATATATATATATATATATATATATATATATATATATAGGTGATGCACTGAGGTTGTGCTGAAAAGTTCTCAGTTTAACCTCAGATCTGACCAAATGACTAAATATCTGACTCCTTGAATTATCATCATATAAATTTTTACCACTTTTTGGCAAAGTATAAGAAGCTCTAAAACATCTTACTTCACATGATCTTCTTTCACAATATGGATTCTGTTTGTCAAGGTATATTGCTGATGTATTAACACTCATCACTGAATTTGTTAAGAGCGGCAATGCTTGGGCTGTACCCTTAGACATCTCAAAGGCTTTCAACAGAGTTTGACATGCTGGCCTTATCCACAAGCTCAAGAGCTACAGTGTCTCTGGATGAACATTTGGCCTAATCCTATCATTCCTAACAAATCATGTAATGAAGTTTATGTTGACTGGACATACTTCTAGTTCATTTCATATTAATCCAGGTATGCTCTATCCTTGGACTTACACTGTTTCTGCTCTTCATCAATGACTTTCCCAATGTCATCAGTTCCCATCTAGTTATCTATGCAAATGACACAATTATTTACTTCTATCTTAGTAGCAAGTCTGTCAGTTTCCACAAAGTAAAACTGGCAACTTCTCAAAAAAAGGACCCCCAATCAGTGGATAATTGGGGCAACAAATGGCTTGTAAATTTTAATGCCCTCAAAACAAAACTGATTCCATTTAATCACCACAGAGAACTTTTTCTGGCTACCATCTGCATGGGTAATGCTGAACTCCAGGAAGGCAACACTCTGCAACTTCTTAGACTCACATGAAGTGGATTAATTGCTAAATCTTCTGCCAGGAAAATTGGCTCACTGTTTTGTGTCAGGCAATACTTCTTGTCAAAATCCATTTTGCACATTTATAAATCTACCATTCATCTGTGCACTGAATACTGCTGCCATATCTGGTCTGGTGTTCCAACTATATATCTTAAAATTCTTCATAAAATTCAATGTGTTTTCAATGTAATCGATCTTAACCTGATATCTCAACTTCAATCACTTTCCCACTATTGTGATGTAACATTTTATTTTTTCATGGCATTTGCTCTTATGAGCTTTTCTCCTTAGTGTCTTGACTGTATGAATTTAAATATGCTACTAGATTGGCAATTAGGTCTCACCATTTTCCTGTTGAATTAGCTAGATACAACTGTCAGTTCTAATAGGTTCTTTTCTCACATTTCTTCCTTGTGTAACTCCTTTCTGAGTTCTTACTTCCTTACCACTTACAGCAATAAGGAAACAAGAGTAAAAATGATAAAAAAAGAAGCATTTCTTGGTTGAGTTGAGAACTTTTCAGCACATAGCCTCATATGCTTTACTGCTTTTGGAAACAATCTAAATCTGATGAATTCACATCTTTCTGTTCTGTGCAATTATCAAATATCTTGACAAAACTATGTCTTACCACTGGCATGCAATGATGCATGAAAGAGAACAGAGTGGGTGGATGTGTGTTTGGCCAAATGACTACTATAATAATCTGAACACTGAGCCAGCAATAACTGGGATGAAAATAAAAAAAATATATTACACCCATTATTAACCATGACTATTTCCATTTCCTTTTTCTCACATTTTTTTTTGTCTATTTTTTTATTCATTTATCCTTATTTTTTATTTTCTTTTTTTTATCTTTCTTTATTTGTGTTCCTGTTTATTTTTATTTTCCTTTTCTTTTTCTCATCTTGTCATTAATTTCTTTTCTAGTTTTTATTTCATTTTTTAGATTCCCTTGTTCTCATTTTTCTTTTCCACTTTATTTCTTCTTTGTTTCTCTTTACCTTTCTTTTTTCTTTTCTTTCTCATTTGTATTTTTTTCCTTTTTTTTTTATTGCTTCTTATATAGTTTCTTTTGTTTTTTCTTTCTCTTTCTTTTATATTTCTTTCAGTCTAAAAATATTTCTGGCTTGAAATAACTAGTAAACAGTTGATAAGCTTCAGAAAATAAATAAAAAACCTAAAAAGAAAATGTTTCTTTCACTTGTCTCTTTTATATTCTTTCTTATTTCATTCCATTTTGTTTCTTCTATCTTTTCTCTCAACCTATCTTTCTTTCTGTAAAATCTCCTTTATTCATTTACTATTAAATGACATGATAGTTATGTTTGAAAACAGACTTACAGAACTATATTCTCTTAATCTGAAACATGTCATTAAGATATTAACAAACCCTTCCAATCATTAAATGTATCTTTTCACCTTTAGCAAAATACAGACCCTGTAAAATTCAAGTGCTGAACAAAATCCCAAAGTATCTAAATTAATTAGAAGAAATTTTTATTCTGTACACCAGAAAAGATACAGGTGGCAAGAAGGAAAATATTCACAGCTTCACTTACCTGAGCAGGTAATTGGTTTTCTGCTACACCTGATTATTCTCTATTGGCAATCCCATGATATCTATTTTCAAATGAGTAGCAATAAACTCATGACCAAATCGTTCCCTAATTAATTTAGAGTTTTATTCAAGCTGATTGTTTTCTTTCTTTGATCATGGTCTCTGTTCTCTAAACTGAGTCAGGAGAAAAAAACAATTTAAAGAAATGAAAAAGCCAAAACGAAGGAAAAAGGAAAGAGATGAGAAGATGAAATTGCACAGGGAATTGTGCAAAAAATATCAGCACAAAGTAGTAGTTGTATGAGGATAAAAAAAAAAGAATAAGAAGATCCCAAACTTTATGGTCTGGACCAACCAACCAACCAAACAACCTCCCCATTCAGGAAAACTGGATTTGTTCTGAAGAAAAAAAGGACAACCTGACAGATTATGAACATGGCTGTGCCAACAAACCACAGGATGAAGATGGAAAAAAAAATGGGAAAATATCAGGAACTCTACAGAGAACTAAGAAAACAGGAATATACTGGTTAGAGTAGTGTTGATAATAGTTGGAGCACTTGGAGCTATGTCAAAAATATTAAAATTGGTACTGGATGAATTAAAAATTAAAAAAATAAAATCTAGACCACCCCAAGAAAGATGATAATGCCACTAAGATGCAAGGGTTTACAAGGAGTGAAAGAGAATGAGAAGACCTTAGAGAAGAGAAGTGAGGGTTCAGGAAGATGGAAGATGGTGATTTACTTTGAATTAAAATCATTGAAGATTGTAGGTGGCAGGGAAACAAGAAATTGGAAGGGAGTTCCACGGTTGTGAAGTGCAAGAAAAGAAACTGATAGAATAGAAATGGTGGTTGCATTTAGCTAGTTCAACAGTAAAATAGTAAGTCCCAGTTGCCAATCTAGAAGCATGCTTAAATTCCTATAGTCAAGACACTATGGGAAAACAAAAGCTCATCAGAGCAGTTGCCATGAAAATATTTATAGAAAAGACAGAGAGAAGTCATGTCATGTCAGTGAGAAAGTGAATGTAATCAAGATGCCAGGTCAGGATCAGTAACATTACAGATCCTTTTTTGAATTTTGTCAAGAAACTCAAGATGAATAGCAGGAGCACCAAACCAGATATGACAGCAATATTAAATGCATAGATGAATGATAGATTTATAAATGTGCAAGATGAATTCCTCATTTTTGTTTCTATTATCACAATGTTTCAATCATTGTTCTTCATGTTTTTATCAATCTGAGTAATCTTCAGGGAATTTTGAACTGAACTTTTTATTTAATCCACAAGTGTAGATTTTGAACTGAACTTTTTATTTAACTCATGACTGTACATTTTGAACTGAACTTTTTATTTAACCCACAAGTGTAGATTTTGAACTGAACTTTTTATTTATTCCATGACTGTAGATTTTGAACTGAACTGTTTATTCAACTCACATGTGTAGATTTTGAACTGAACTTTTTATTTAATCCATGATTGTAGATTTTGAAGTGAATTCTTTATTTAACCCACAAGTGTAGATTTTGAAGTGAGCTCAGTAGATTTTGAATTGAACTTTTTATTTAACCCATGACTGTAGATTTTGAACTAAACTGTTTATTTATCCCACAAGTGTAGATTTTGAAGTGAACTGTTTATTTAACCCACAAGTGTAGATTGTTCCTATTCTGTTGTCCATGCCTAGAAATATAATGTCTTGTCTTTTGTTTAGTAGTGCTCTTAACCAGACACAGGACAATAGCTTTGTGGATTAAAACATTAGTTTATTCATTTTCCTGACATAGTAATTGTAAATTCTATTCTAGGCCTGGAAATACTGACTTAGGCTTGGTGGAAACAGGGTAAGCAATAACTGAGCAGGACTAAATAAGAAAATTAGATATCCTTAGATATGTACAGTGGAACAAGAAAATTCTACCTCCATTACCTGGATTGACAAACAACTGAAGAAAGCTGATGGGTGTAACAGATGAAACATTGTGCTAATAACAAGGATGAGGACAATACTCCAAATGTAAACAAAGTTTTAAAAGTTTTTTTTAAAAGAAATGTAAGAGAGAAATTTCTAAAATTTACATCAATTTTCAAATATTTCCATACTGGATAAAAACAACTTTTGTTACATTTTTTTTAATAACATGTAAATACTATTGAGCTTGCAGCCATATCACATTGAAACCCTGATTCTTGTCCAATCACTCAAGTTAAGCAATGTTGAACCTGGTCAGTACCTGGATGGGTGACCATTTGGGAATACCAGGTGTTGTAAACCCCTACCAACCCACATTGGGCCAGCACATTAGGGTCATGACCAAGGCGTTCCTTAATGGCAGTATAGGGATCACCTTGGTCATGACCCATTCCTCCCCATAGACAACAAAGGAAATGATTTGCAGAAGGCCTATGTTCAACAAAGGTCTTTTGCCAGCTGATTAAGGAATTACTTTTGAACCTCAAAAAGACAATTGATAAAACTACTCTCAATTTCTTGTATACTGAGAAGGGGGAGTTTTAAAAGTGATGTTTAAATCACATTTCTAAAAATTTATAAACATTATATCTGATTATATATAAGAAATTCCTATTTACTTTTAATATTACAGAATTATTGAGTAAGTTTCAGTACAAATAGTGGTTAACTATATCATTTGAGTAAACTTAAGACCCCTAGATACTTACACTTTGTATAAAAGACTAGGGAGATATTTTCTGAGTCATTTTTTTTAAAAAAAAAGTCTTTTCATTTGCAATCAAATAATCTGCAAGTATTTTAATAAATGCTAAATTCAAATTCACATTTTAACTGATACAGTTCTCTCTCACTTCATATATAACTATATATCAGGCAGCATTTAAGCTAGCTCCTGTGGGGGCACTTGATTGGGTGTTCATCACAATAGGTAGGGAGGAGTTGATGTGATAGGCTACTATAAATTACAGAACTCAAAATTGATCACTGCATCTAAGTATTGCATTAATATTTAAGCTTAACTTTCAAAAATTCAATGATAATTCTTCTGCCACCACTTAATTTAAAGACAATTTGATGCATGTAGGTCATCACTATTTGTACAAACAATTATTTTTATTTCATGAGTGACTTTTGCTGGACTTTGCAATTAATTTCAATTAGTGCCAAATTTATTTCCAAGTTATAAAAATTGTTATCATGCAAAAAAAATTGTTGCAAAAATCATGGAAAAATTGCTGAAAACAATCACAGTAATGAAAACTTTGGAATTCAAAATTTCAGGGTTGTGGGTCCAGGTCTGGCATAGAATGTTTTTAATTTGCTCATGGAGTCTCCCTAATTCCAAAATGTTATTATATGTTGGGCTTTGGCTACAAGGAGTAAAGTGAAAAAAATGTGACACATTGACATTCATGATATAAAAGATAAGCTATTGAGAGTTGTGCCCCTTTAATTGAAAAAGTGTGACTGACACACTAAGATTGGCATTTACTATACAGCTGACTGGCCATTTGCTTCCTACCTGTAGTTTATGCTGTAACTATGCTGAGCAGACATCAGTTGTGTTTCTGGGAATATTTAAACCAATCTGGTGTGTTCAACTACTTTCAACAAGGCCAGTATGCTTTCCCTTTTCTTGAAAGCCAGTCTACAATGAATGTAACTTCATGCTAGCACAACCATTGACCAACAATTTAGTCTATCCAATTCCACTAACTCGTGGTAGGGTTTTCAGAACTTTTCCAAAGGTGGTGAATGCTGGCATTACCTCCCAAGGCCAATAACATCAAAAAGTTTCCTTGCTAACATATCGACGATGGTGAAATTCAAACCTGGGTCTCCTAGTCAGAAAGTGAATATTCTAAGCACTCAACCAAATGCCCACTTTATTTATATATATATATATATATATATATATATATATATATATAGGCACCATATCTTCATTCAAACATCTGAAGACAAAATTAATGTAACTGTGATTGTTGTGATGGTGATTTTTGTGAACACTCTCTGTTATAATTATTTTAAAATTAACCATTGTAGCTATGATGTTTTTTTCAAACAAATTTCCTCCAACAATGTTTCAAGGGAGCTAACCAGACATGGTAAAAATGCAACATGACATTAAATGTTAGTCAAATGCATTTTAAAACATTGTTACTACACTCATAATAAATTTTGTTCAGTGTTGGTTGGATGCTTTTTGATACAGTTACATTAAGTTTGTCTTCACAATTCCCCACTGAGGATGCTCTTGGAGGAGATCAAAAGTACTTGGGTTAACAAGAACTATGGCACCTTCCTTGATGAATTTCAACTTAATATCAAGAAGATAATTAGAGAACTAGAAAGGATTAACATAAAAATAAATAAACATAATATATCTATATTATTCAATGAAACATGCTTGAATATATATATATATATATATATATATATATATATATATATATATATTATTTTTTATTATAAGAGATTATGATAAAAACATGTTGAAATTGCTACACAAAAGCTTTCATATTTCAATACTTTGATTCTACTTCTTCAGGTAATGTTAAGTAACCAGTGATTAAAGAATTTATTGAGGAAATTAAATACCAAATTGTTACCTCTTTTCTGAAAGTTAAAGGTGGGGTGACATAAGGTCAGAATTAAAATTAAACTTGTGGGTATGTCTTGATTAACCAATTAAATGTCAGATCTATGCTAAATAGAAAAGTAAGCAAAAAGGGTGGCGGTAGGTGAGTTATTTTGTTCATGTCACGATAAACCGAAACAGACAGGACATCATTGACGATTGCAGAAAATATGTCAGCAGTACATAATTTTTTTTTTTTTAAATTAAAAAAGGTTTCTCCTGACTTTTCAAATTACACAGAAATTATTCAACTGACTTTATTAACAGATGTATCTTGTTTAAAATAGATTGCATAAAAAGAAATGTTAATTTTTGATGTCAGACTTAATTTTAAGTTTAGGTAATTATCAACATGAGACAATACCAAAATACTCAACAGCACTTAATGTGAGGAATAAATAATATGAGAAATAATAATAAATAATAATAGAAAATAATAATAATAATAATAATAATAATTATAATAATAATAATAATAATAATAATAATAAAAATAATAATAAATAAAAAGAATAATATTAGGAATACGAATAAATAATGTGAAGAATAAGATCCCAAATACCAGAAGTTATTATTGTACAAAATAAATAACAAACATTAAATAAAATATCATTCACCACAGGAGACAATATCTTGAAGTGCATATGATATATTTAATGTGCGCAGATATATCAATATTAAAAATATAAAAAATAAATAAATTACATTCTTTTTGTGTAGCCTTGTTCCCAATAGCTGTTACACATGACATCACACTAGCCCATTTCAAACATCCAGCTTCCCAAAGAATACCAGGATGTAGAAAAATGAAAACAAACTACCACACAGACACCACATTGACTCTTGATAGTGACTGTAATAGTCAAAAGTACTTGAACAAAGGTAACAAAATATGAACTTCAAACAGTTTATCCACAACTGCAAACACTCAACACCTTGTCTGAAAATTAGAAAAATATAATATAAAATTTAACAGATAGAGCTTGTCAATTATTTTTAATCAAACTTATATATATATATATATATATACACACACACTCAGATGTGTATTGCATGCTTTTTCATTTGATGTCAATTCATGTTGATCATTGACCTGTACTGTATTATTGAATCAAGATAGAAAGATTATGGATTAAGAGGTCGATACATTCCACTTTAAATACCAGATGTGTGGGTGGATGCATGCAGACATAAACATACAATGGACTAGTTAGTGGGATGAGAGCACATAGGACTACCTTTGTGATAAGTAACAATGATTCTTTATCTACCTTGGAAAGATTCCCCAAGAAATATCCTTGCTGCTAAGACCTTTGCTTTTTGGGGATTTTTTTTTTATACGTGTCTTTTTTCTTCTCTCTCTCTTTTCTTTAGTGAAAAAAAATTTATATTGATTGTAAAGATAAGACCTGCCCGCCCCCAAGGCAGCAAGCAGCACAAGGGATAGGTCATGATAAATAAGGGGAGATTACTCTTGTACTCATCTTATGTACACATGTTTGTAAGTCAGTAAGTTAGTGCATGAGGGAGAGATAGTGAACAGATGGTATTTCACTTCCTCCATCAACCGTTCTCTCTCTCTTACACTCTCTCTCTCTCTCTCTCTCTCTTTAAAAAAAACAAAAGAAAAGAAAAGGGTTTTAAAAACAAGAAACATTGAAATGTTAGAAGATGCTTTCTAATGTATTATAAGTGAATTGCAATTATAACACTTTAGTGTTAACTAAGTGGACTAAGAATAGAATTTTGGAATACAATTCCCTAGACTTTCATAACGAACCTATAAGCACAGAGATGAATGGATTTTTGCATATAGAAGAAACTATAGATTTTCATTTTATATTTGATTAATAAAGATCCATCATCAGACTGATTTGCTAAATAAATATTATCCTAAGTAATTATGAATATCAAGACTATTTCGTCTCTCTGTAATGCATGCATTAATTCCTGACCACTGAATATATTCTTAATTTTCAATACAGATTGACCTGTGAAGTCCATCTAAGCAAACTTTAGATAAAAGTTGCAAAATTCAGTATTGAAATCATTAAAGTCTACCTGTAAATGCTAATAGTTATTATGATTTTAATTCATTCTCATATTTATTAGCAAACTTTCAAGTTTTACCAAACTCACTAAGAGTAGGTTGTTACAAATTTTTCTGTAAGAGAGTCAAAGCAAAATATACTATTTGGGTATACCTCTGAAGTAGAACTGTGGAAAAGAAGTTCATATTACTAATTAATTTTATGAGATTTAAATTTTTATGAACAATCAAAGACTATTTTTTCTAGTTGAAATATGTTCCCAATAGAATAAATATTTTCTGTCTAAATTTCTGGGATGAGGAATTATCATTAACTAGCAGGTGAGCCCAGCATTGCCTGGGAATGTAACAGTAAGAGATAGATCAAGTATCAACCATCATAAAGACTGAAAAATAAAATTGACAAAGATTATTGTTTAAGGTTGATGGACACGCATGTCTTAATTAGTTGTTTTTTTGTTTTTTTTTATGAATTGGTCAAACCCAAACTCAAACAAAAACATTGTTTTCAATTGTTATGAGTCTATCAATTGAATAGAATTTTATTATAAAGAATTGTCTTGTAAATGGAATTTTTAAAGCATTCTGAATGTAAAAATAAAGAAAA